GCCCTTCAGAGATAGGGTAGCTAGTATTTTACGAGTTTAGAAATTCACAGAATAGAAATGTGACTCCCCTCAAATCTTCTCATAATCTAGGGATGCATTTCCAGGCAACCCATTACTTCCTCCACTGTAGGGTCAAGACAAAGTTTTGATTCTCCTCCCATTTTCCCTAGAATTTTATTTTAATTCTTTACTTTCCTGCCCAAGGTCTAATTCTTTTGAAATGTACAGATACAGCTGGTAGGTAATTTTCTTCTGTAGGCATCCTTAGCTCCAAAACACAGACCCGTTTAGTGTACAAATACATGATGTTTTTTAAGCACCAAACTCAAAGGATTAAGAAAAATACTGGCACAAAACCAAGGCTTACCTGTATTTTGTCTAAGACACCAGTGCTGTCCATCCTGCTGGCCACATTTACTGTATTGCCCCAGATATCATATTGTGGTTTTTGAGCTCCAATTACTCCAGCTATTACAGGTCCGTGGTTGATACCTGGAAAACATCAGAACTTAACATTAAAGAAGAAGATCCACCAAACAAGGATACACAGTGCATCTGGTAACATATCAAGTCAATGAACATGGTATTTGGCCCATGCTGAATAGTGAGTACAGCAACCAATGGCCTGTTCACAACTGTTTTATCAACCATTTACAGCAGGAGGATGTTAGTTATAAAAATGGCAAAAGTTAGTTCATCTAATTTTAGTTTTACAGCTCCCTGCCGTCCTCAGTAAATTTGATATTTTCAACCATTAGTATCCTAATAACCTGCTACTGCCTTTATTAGATAGCATGAGGAACACACTGTGGGAGAGCAGCAGCTTCTGGGAAAACAGATATACAAGAATTTCTTTTCATTTCTACTTGTAGTGAAAAGAACTTCTCTCTGCAATAGTTGACTGCCAAATCAAATTACTTTTACAGTATTCTTTGCTGCTTAAATGCAGAATAAACTAATGTGAATGAGCTGGAAGGATTTGAAGCCTTGTTCTGAAGGCTGGATTACCCATAGAATGGTCCTAAATAACGGCAATATAAATATATGTATTCAAATAATTTGATTAAGCATGGAGTAAGAGTAACAAATGGCTAGCTCTGAAACGCACACTGTAAGAGTGAAGAACAACATAGTGTAGACCCTCATTAGACTCTGGGCATTTTTTATCTTGCAGTCAGTTTGTATCCTATGTTACGACTGTAAAGGGAATGAGTTGTACTCTGCTAGAAGGGAAGGAATCCAGGAGGCAAAATCAAAAGCACTATTGTTAACCAGCATCAAATATACTATAATTATAACTATACATACCGATGAGCAGGAAAGCCAAGTTAGACCTAGTGAGAAATAAACCCTGGACAAGTGAGTTGTTTGGATTTCTAAAGTCATCTCCACATCACTGGATCATAACTGACTTCTATTAATTCCTTGACAGAAACCATCACTAGGGATATCTCTACGCAGCAAAATGAAAGTGTGATCGTAGCCCGGGGAGGCATCTCAGAGCTGGCTCATCTAGTAGGGATCATATGTAAGATGGCAGCATGGGCTAGCAACCACGCTGTAAGACCACTTGGGAACCCTGGAAAAAGTGACTGTGGCAGTTAAATTTAGAAAATTGGGGAAATATGCAAACCCTAAAGGCACCAGATAGAACCTGATAAATATTTGTCTAAGCACTTGGGATTAAATGCACAAAGGGACTCAGGCCTTGCAATGCTCTGCATTAAACACCCAGGTCATGGGTGTGTTTTTCTGCTTCATGACATCCAACGTGTAGAAAGCACTAGGGACCTAAGAGTGGAATCCACAACAGCCATCTGCTGAGTAGCCCAAGCTGGCTAGTAGGCAATACTGAAGAGATGTGTATGGCATACGCTCTGCCATGGTCCAGAAATTAGGGCAGTGCAGTGGGACTTTCCTAAAAATACAATGGTGTATTTTTTTTTTTTACAAAGACACAGGAGGTGTCTTTTTTTTTTTACCTCCTTCCTGAACCACCACTGCTGATGGTTTGAGTAATACCTCAGGGGCTGGAGAGCCAGCTTCAGATCCCTCCTCCTTCAAGGACACTTCTACCCATATCTCTTAGGAATGTGTTTTGGCCACCCAGGCATTCTGGGATGTGCTGCTCTATGTCATCCCTGCTAGTGCGGGCCTCCTTCGCATGACACATGTGAATGTTTGTTGGGGCAAGGCTGGAAGAGTAGTGCCCTCAGTCCAGGTGAATGCTCTAACAGAGGGCGATACCATCTGTCTCTCTCTCTCGTATCCAAAGCGACATTTAATTATTCCACGAAAAGGCAAAAAGAGAAAAATCTCATTCCAAAGTATCCTACAGCCTGGCCGCATAGCATTCTCCAGGGAATAGGGATCCACATGCTTGAGCAGCCTCAGGCAAAAGCAGGAACCAAATTAAGTTCACCTACAGCACAGACAAATGTTCTAACCATGAAACTATATGGAAAACAACATATCAGCCTTTATTCTGTTCTGAAAAAAAAGCAGTACCTGTGCAAAACTTATCGCAAAAGCATTTCTGAGCTTGTCTAACAAATTAAGCACCTTAGCTAACAGAAGTGGAGAAATGCCTGAAATATAATCTAGGTGCTCCCCTCCCTTGCCTGACAACGCCAGGGTAGGCTGTGTACCTCCTAAGGCACAACAGCATTTCAGGCACTCACAGAAAATGAAGGTTGAAAGCTGAGACCTCTAGTGAGTTGTAGCAATTCTGGGGTTAGATGCTGGCCAAGGAAGGTTTTTACAAATGGCAGTTTGGGTTTAAAGCGGGGATTATGTCGGGGCAGATGCTCAAATGTTTCTGTGGCTCTAATTGCTATGGATAACAGATGCTTTCATGGTGGTGAGAAGTGGAGAAAAAGTGAAGTTAAGATGGGAAGTGAAGATCTCAGTGGTGCCTATATGGGATTAAGGTGGCAAAAGTGCCAGTTTGGGGCCTGTGTCCCTTTGTAGATTTAATCATTCCTCATTTCATGAAGCAAAGGACTCTGACTTCTCTGGAACCTATAGCAAACACTTTAAAAATCAAAAGTAGGTATCTTTTTTTCCCCTAGAAAGTTTGCTTCATGATCCCGACTTTAAAGGAATCAGTAGTGCTTTAGTCAGTTTGCAGATTTAGCTCCGACACTCAGCAGCTCTTTTATCTGTACTGACACTACTGATATAAGTATGTTTGCAAGTACGTGGCATGTGTCATCTATGGCAAGAAGAGAACTTTTATTCTGTACAGAAATATGGTATCTCTACACTTTTTTTTAAAACCCATCAAGTTCTGTAACACTTTGAGAAGGAAGCATACTTCAGATTTGCTTTGTCATTTTTTTAACTCTAGCAAGGAATACAAAACATACTGGCAAAGGAGCACTCTCAGGAACACATGAACATTTCAAGTCAGAAGATAGCAAGTTTTGCCAGTGGGTGGCACTGTGAAACAAACGTGAGAGGAGCAGCCAAAAGGAAAAGCAAGCGGCACAGCAAGAAAAAGACAAGACAGTAGAATAACTGTTGGAAATCAAATACTTCTGACATGTTTACGGGATTTATGGGTTTCCAATATTTATTTACTGCTTTCATTTCACACTTTCCAAGTTACACGTTGCATTGTAAAACTGCTGTGTACTGCTATCAGGAAAAAAACATTTTGGAACATATGGTTCTTGACCAGCTCTGAATTAATTTATTTCATCATGCTTTCCATGGCTTACTGCAGCTGCCTATTTCTTTTTTAAAATACCGTGATGCACAAATAGAAGCAATTAGAAGATGAAATATAAGGGATACCCCTTTCAAATATAAACCACCAGTCATCTTTGCTCTTATTTGTCAATAACCACAGAATAACAAAGAGAAATATCCTCCTTTGTCTAACACTAGGAATGAAAGGGTCCATTTTTGTACGCTTGCTTGAGTTTAGTACATCTAAAATATTTCAAACTCCAGCCTCACTGGCCCCTTACAGCTCTGGTCCTCCAAAACCATGTATATGATTTTGTAAAGCCCTGTCTACAGTCTTCTTCTGTCCTTTGTCCTTTAAAAAATTTATGTGATTAACAACCTCTAGAATAATTATTATAGAGTTACCATAAAACAAATCAGAGCCATGGGAACGTATTTTTCAACCATTCTTCACTTAGGAATACTGCCCTTTTCTGAGTCCTGCTTTGAAACACTCCTTGCCACAACAGCAGCTATGGTTAACGGGCAATACCACGTAGACGGCCTTTAAACAGGGTAAAGATGGCGCTATTTACTTTCATGGCCCTTTTGGCCAGTTCTACTAACACTTTAATCAGCTGGTACTTCACACTGAATTCTCCCCCTCCTCCATGATATTCTCATAAAAATCCTGTGATACATACCTACTCGTAACTTGAAGTCATTGAATGAATGCTTGTTTATGACATCCAGTTTCGCCACCAAGGCAAATGCGAACTCCACCATGGTTCCTATGTGCATATACTGTCGTTCAGGTTCCTGAATTTACACAGCCAAACAAACAGAATAAAATCATTTTCTTTAGCCTTAGTTGCTGTGAGAATACAACCAAAATACGCTGAACACTTGAAAGCACTTAAACCCTTAGGGATGTCCTAATGCCAGCAGGCTGCAGCAGCAAAGTAATGTAGAAGATGGTGCCCTGTCCAGCATCAGTTAGATCAAACAATGGCCAATAGACTAGGATGCATTTTACTTACACAGTCAGGCAGTCTAGAGATGATAGGTCCAAAACATGTCTAATCTAATGTTTCGATTGCCAAGTAACTGATTAGCTGCTATCTAATCCCACAGACACTCAATGTCTATGTGTGCCTAGGATTTGCTCATTAATTTTCTCTAAGTGTCTGCTTCTATTTTATGTCCTTTAGTAATAAATAATGCTGTGGACAGCCCCACAGAGACTCCTCCCTCTCACTGTTGCACAGCTCAGCACCCTAGTTAATGCTTAAGCTCCAGTGAAGTTTATAATTTTTAGAGTTCCTCCGCTGATCTCATCTGGTAGATAAGCAAGCACCTCTGAGAACATCTAATAGACCTGAAAATGAATAAAATACAAGAGGAAGAGAGGAAAGAGGCAATCCATCCTCTGCCCCCTAATTTACTAGCTCAGAGCTTACACCACTTATAAAGGCTATAGACTTAATGTCTCCTCATACATCAACAGTGTAGCCTGATTTCTAAGTACTGGTTTGAGTCCTCTCAGGCTGAGGAGAAAAGTGATTTTTGGGCTCCTACAGCCCAGGGTAGGACCCTCAGAAGAGAATGATTTCATAAGAGATGGACTCACTGATCTCTATGAGAAATGACTGAATCTTCCTCATTCCTTGAGATAAAGTGGCAGAAGAGATGGACAGATGACAACTTCGGGAGATGATTCATAGAGTAGATGCATCAGCCTAGGTGGGACAGTAGTGGTACTTGCCAGAGCAGCTGTTTAGATGAATGAAGCCTGTTTCCTTTGGAGTTCGCTCCTAGCTAAGACAGATCGTTTCCTGTTCGGTTGATGTATTCAGACCCCCTCCTTAGGCACTTAGTCTTCCTTGGGGGCTTGTATTAAGCTGGGGGCTGTTCCCAGCAGTATGCCTAGCAGTCAGTCACTGCCACACGAGGTACTGCATTATCCGTGGAACTTTGGGCATCTGGACTGAAGACTGCTGAGTTTTGGGGGATTTCTTTTGAAAATGTGTACTAAATCACCAAAGGAACACTACAACTTGGATCTCTTGAGTCACAGTTTGTGGAAATAACAAACGATAAATTTCTTCCTGTGCACACACAACTTTTAGTTGTGATTGAGAGCTCCTCTATGTCTTCTCATCTCCAGTCTACAGTTCTGCATTTCCTTCATCCCCTTCACCTCCCTGTATTAAATGTCAGAGCTAATTTAAAATAATTCTTTTTTTGCCCTCAGGATCCTTAGGATCTATAGTTCAGGCGTTAATTGCTTCTGTCTAGAAGGAACATGAGTTTGGCAAGAGCACATTAATCCTTAGCAGAGAATGTGTTGATTCATAATTGCTGTCTCTCTGTTGCTAACCTGCAGTACTCTAAAGATCATGGCAAAAGCAAGGTTTTTGCTTAGAAGTTATGAATTGCTCCTCCGAACTTCATTTCTACTGACTGCAGTTCCCAATCCTGCCCTATTAAGTAAACCAGAAACAAAGGAACACGTTCTCAGTGCTAAGCCTGAGGGTTCTGTAAGTGTATGGTTAATACATCTACTCAGCCCTCCCAGCTTACAATGGAAAATACTCATTCTTGCAGTCTTTTGTACTCTATAAATCCAGTTCTGCTGCAACATGTAGGAATAAAATGCTGTATTGTATTTAGAGTAGAAGGCCTGTTTTAGACTTAGCAAATACAGAGGTGGCATTTTCAAACCGCAATGTGAAGAACAATAATTCACAATAATATACTAAACAAAAGTATACAATTGTCTAGTGCAAGACAATCTATGTTAATAAGAAAAAAACTAGGCCATAACATTATACATAACCTGCAGTTTAATGAACAGAATTTTAGCCTTCATTTGAACATGTTTTTTATTAAGGAGGAACCTTTTCCTGTACCTGACACTGTTCTTGGTTGGGTGTAGCACTCAATCCTGTTGCTGCCATGTAAGTGCTTCCAATGGTCTTTATCTTTTCAACTCCACTGAACTTTGGCTTTGACAATAACTGTAGAACAAGGATGGTTATTCATTATTCAGATCAGCAGCCTTGTTACTCTAACAGCATTTTTACTCTAACAGCATTCAGAGCACCAATTCTTAGAACAGTCTTTTAATAGACCCCAAAAGGCTTCACAAATATATGCAGGATGAAAGACTTAAGGATGGATAAAACAATGGTTACAGCCTCCAAGGAAAGGGAATTTCTGTCTGCTAAAACACCTTTTTATTATAAAGAGACTAAATTTATAGTAATGAGGATAAATTCCACCTTATTGTACATATAGCTCTTAAAAGTCAGTAGACTTTGCACTCATTTGATATTGGAACTGAGTCACCATGTGAGCCAACAGTTAAGTTTTAAGCAGCTTTCTGAAAGTAAGCATCTATTCCATGCCCATGGGTGGTCCACGCCAATGGGACTAAAATCCAAGGATTTTAGTTCATATCCCAGGTTGTTTTGAACATTCCAATGTTCTCCAAATGGATTTGCTGCTAAAATACCCTCTATAGCTGCAGATCCGCAAATTCAGACTGTGCTCTCTGAGTCATGACATGATCTTAATGCCTCTTTCTGGTATCTTCATCACTAATGACCTTCTTTAAGACAAATACTGTTATCAGTGAGACCTTTACAGCTGCCTTTTCACAATCCATCTGCAGTCATACTCTGTACTTGCTTGTAACTTCAGAGAATGGGATATTAAAACTTATACAATCCTTTGAGTCGCCCATGTATCAACTGATCAATGCTCTGTATAATGAGAGCAACACAGATCAGGTACAACACAAAGCTGTACCATTTTAGGGGACATAGATTTACGTACCTGACTTTAGGCACTAGTATTTAGAAACTATAGCTAATATACAGCATGTAATATGACTGCCTCATGAACTGCAGCTAAAGGGCAAAAATTTCTCCATCAGATATACACATAGGATTCTCATTATAGTGAATCAAAAGCAATTGAGCATGATGTCAGATCAATATCTGATTTATCCCACATAAATCTCTTTTTCCTTTAATACTCCCTGTAAGTAATTTCCATGTGACTAGGCACACAAAAGTTCTTTTCTGACAGCTCTTCCACTCTCCCTTTCAAGTATGTTTGCTTACTGTTGCATACCCTGAGTTACCAAGATTGAAACCTGTGCTGGTTTGCCTGGGATAGAGTTAATTTTCTTCACAGTAGCTAGTATGGGGCTCTGTTTTGGATTTGTGCTGGAAACAGTGTTGATAACACAGGGATGTTTTGGTTACTGCTGAGCAGTGCTTACACAGTGTCAAGGCCTTTTCTGCCTCTCACCCCACCCCACCAGCAAGGAGGCTGGGGGTGTGCAAGAAGTTGGGAGGGGACACAGCCGGGACAGCTGACCCCAGCTGACCAAAGGGATATTCCACATCATGTGACGTCATGCTCAGCATATAAAGCTGGGGGAAGAAGGAGGAAGGGGGGGGACGTTCGGAGAGATGGCGTTTGTCTTCCCAAGTAACCATTACGCGTGATGGAGCCCTGCTTTCCTGGGGATGGCTGAACACCTGCCTGCCCATGGGAAGTAGTGAATGAATTCCTTGTTTTGCTTTGCTCATGTGCGCGGCTTTTGCTTTGCCTATTAAACTGTCTTTATCTCAACCCACAAGTTTCCTCGCTTTTACCCTTCCAATTCTCTCCCCCATCCCACCGGGGGGACAGTGAGCGAGTGGCTGTGTGCTGCTTAGTTGCCAGCTGGGGTTAAACCACAACAAAACCATATGTTTGTTGTTAGAAGTACATACATCATCGAAGTCAGCAATGATCTCATTTAGCAGCCTGAGACATTCCAAGCCTTCCTTATTAACATCAGATTCTGTGTAAAATTCCTTGAAATCCGGAACAGAGGCAAACATGACACAGACACAGTCATATGACTGATGATATAGATCCTGTCCAAAAGAAAACAGAATAGAGAAAAAAGAATCTGTCATAACCAGCTCTAAATAAAAGTTTCCTTATTAATATGCAGTGTCCTGGTTCTGAGAAGGGAGGTATTGCAGTGGTTCGAATGCCTTAAGATGGTTGTTGGGTATTCTTTGCATTTAGTTGCATTTATTAACTTTAAACGGTGTATAAACCTGTTTGTTAAAGAGACTCAACATACACAGCTGAAAATATTTTAGTGATTTAAAGTTACCTTTTTTTCCTCCTGAACATTAAATTAGTGAACATTTTATGTTCACAGAATTATTAGAAAGGGCCCATTTCTGAGGCTTCTCACGTAGAGAATTTGGTCTGGCTTGCACAGCTGAAACTGTATTTTGCAAAATAATCTCTAATTTATTACTAGCTGTTTATATTATTGTAATAACTAGAAAACTGAACCAAAATCACAAACCCAATGCACTACAAATGCATAATGCAACACAATCCTGATAGTTCCTAACCTAAAATGACAAGATGCCTAACAGGACAAAATAATTGTCATTTCTTTTCCATAACAAGGAGCTGAGGCAAAGGGAAAGAAGTCACCGGAACTAAAACTTATTTATGTCAGATTCTTCACTGCCTTCTGTGACCACTAAAATGAGAGCACCTCTGCTCCACAGGAAGTTTCTGGTGCTAAAAATGACCACCCCCCACCCTTCAGTTTCCTCTCCACTGCCCTTAAACATTAGAATAGCTCTTCTTTTAGGATGAATTCACATCCTGAAAAAAAGGAAAGAAAGAGTATTTATTAAACTAATGCTTTAAAAAAAAAAAAATCTATACACGAAGGTAACCACAGCAATAAAAGATGCTGTAAGCTACTATAAAGTGAAATTCTGTTCAAGTTATTGTTTGAGTAAAAGAAGGGCTTCAATACTCATGTGAATAAGGTGAATAGGATTTGTTCTGTGATTTCAAGAAGGACCAGATATTATTCCCTTTTTACTTATCGAAGCTTTTTTTTTGCCATTTCACTGGCAGTACGTTTCTTTTTGAAAGAATGTGGCGTGTCTCTACACAGATGTGTACAGACATAGTGAATCTCTATTGGTGATGTATAACTGAAAAATAGCAGAACTACGGGAAAACTGTTGACCGCCTCGTCCCAGAACAAGTGTGAGGGAAGTTTCTGGGCAAACATGAAAATAATGGCGGACAGGGAGGAACACGGGCAGCTGGAGAAGGTAGGTAATTTATTACTAGATTTTTCTGCCCCTTTATTTTCTAAGGATTCCATAACCAGAGCGTCGCTGAAGCTCCACCATGCCTCTGTGCAATGGGGATGGAACAAATCGTTGCAATTCAGCATTATTATTTATATTCATAAAGCTGAGCTGGTTGAAATCACCCATCTGTACCTGACATCCGGCTTACAGCCATAGATACAAAATCAGTATCACTTTAAAGTGACCTGATTGTGCAAATGAAAAGCAACTAAACAAAACATCCAAGCGATGAGTTCACTGTCAGATCGCTACTAAACTTCAAAGGAGTTCTGGATCTCCACTGTCCTCTTACCAAGAGAGTTTTGCATGAAGAACCAATATTGTGATAATATTCTTCTGCCATCTATTTTATCCATCTCCATAAACATCTGGTTAATAAATTTAATCTGTATAATAAAGTAATCAAACAGTGGAGAGAGGGAACCCCTCTGGCTGGATGACATCAACTGAATTTAGGCAAGTTAAGCACCTGACTGAAGTATTTGAGAGCACAGTCATCCTGTGTGTCCTATATTGTCAGTACAGCATATGTGCCTATCTGGAAGGTCATTTTAATGCCAGATGGGCACAATCACCTCAGTGTTTCCCTCTCTCAGTCAGTTACGGAAAAAGGCTAAAGAGGTAATTTTTCCTAGTGTAGGGACTCAAGACGAGTGCCTGAAACTATACAGGATGACTCTGACTCTAAGAAATTCAGAAACTCAGGCCCAAAATGACTTCTTTGCTCCAGTCTCTCACACTTAAAACCAGGTCCGCTCTGTAGTACTGCAGTGACATACACTGGCGGCTGCCTTGAGTACGCATGCACCTAGACTCAGTGCAGATATACTCAGATTAGCTTGAAATTACTTAAGTGGAGCAGCAGAAAAAGATTAACAGGCTCACTCCTCAAATGTTTAGCTTTTGCAGTCTGCATTTTGCTCCACATCTACCTACTTCAAATTTACCTCAGGCATGTCTACACTGAAGCTACAGAAACATTTGCATATAAATATACTAAAAAGTTAAGAACTGATGTGCTGAGTGCTTTTCATAGGCAAGTTAGCAGAATAGGTACAGACATTACATTCTGTGGTTAACTCAGCTTTCCTTCTATTTCTTCAAGTCACCTTCCCTGTAACTCGATTTCAATTTTGGGTGAAGGAATTCAGGCCACACAGATGGTGCTGGTTATTAAAAGAGGACTGCATCAAAAATATAGGGCCTTGGTAATACAGAAGGGGAAATTCACAGTGTTATAGAAAAGACTGGAGGGAGATACAAGAGTATTTATAGCAGAATGTAGATAATTAATACGCAAAACATGGATTATTACACATACTTTTGAAACTTGACCTGACAAAATAAACAAGTTGTATATATCTGTGATCAAATATATTTTTTTTAAGAAAAATTGTGTTCATATTCCTACCAGCTTGAAAAATCCGGTAAGTTAAATCCAGCCAAAATAATAGTACAGTTAAAATTAATATTAATACACAACTCTCTTGTCCTAGGGATTCTGTTAATTAGTAACAAAAAAGTTGTTTTAATTTACCGGATAAACATTAGACAGCAGCTGTTTTATTTGCTTTATTGAATCCTGCTGATTTTGCATCCTGAGAATGTAAAACGTGCCAGAATTACACTACTGATGAGATACTGGTTGTGAAGTTTGTGAAACAGACAAAAACCTAGGCACAGAGGTGATACTGGGACAGTGCCATATCTGAGATAGTACTTGGAAACTAACGCCATGTAAAGGTTCGTTTGAGAATATAACTTCAGGTCATAAGAACACAGGTCTGTTAGGAGCTGCAGCTGAACCCTCACTGGAAAAGGAGACCAACTATGCAGTGCTGCAGGCATATGATATTACTGAATAATATGAAGCAGAGATAGTAGAAGATGGATTCATTTTACCACCTCATAATACAGGAACCAGAAGATAAATAAAACATTTAAAAATAGAATAAGGAAAAAAATTTTACGTAAGAGATATATAAATGCATATGTCATTGCTATTCAACAACATTAAGGACAAGAGCTTAGAGGGTTAAGAACCTGAATGCTTATGTGAATACTAGAAAAATGCATAACTAGGAAGTGTATAAAAAGCATCTGCAGAAGCAAAACATGCCCTTACATTTACAGGTAAAAGCAGAAGGGTGAATAGCACATTGATCTTCAGCTGTTCCTCGAACTTTTACAGTGGCAACTCCTGTCTTACTACGACTGCCAATGGAAAAAAATCTGTCTTACAGACGTTAAACGTGGAGCCCTAATTAGCTATTAGGAAGTGCCTTTGCTGTCTTCCCTGAAAGCAGAAGTGTTGCCCAGAATAAATCATGGCAACTTGCACAATGCACAGTCATCAGGAAAAGAAATATGACTGAGCAAAAGACAGGAGCAGAGATGCAACTAAAAGTGCTGTTGGGACACAGGAAGATCAGTGTTGTTTATGCTGTTGGCTGTCCACCCAGTACGGGGACAACCTGTAAGAAAGGGCTGCATGCCTGACTGCTACAGTTACAGACACAAATCTTTTTCTATAACCAGAGTTATCGCTCCTTTCTCTCCTCCACCTCAAAAATAAATGAACACATTGTATGTGAACACTTGTCATATGCTGAAGCTCAGCAACGGTGTCCCATTTCTCTTCCTTCCTCTCTAATACTGGAGCAATATCCATCCCCACGAATGCTCTATAGCAGAGTACCAGCATGGGAACAACAACAAATGGCACTGTTTATAACCAGATGAGTAGCAATTGTGGCTGTTACAATAAATGTCAGAGAATTTTAAGGAGGCATTCCCAGCTAGTTTATTTTGATCATTCATAATAATAAAGCCTGTAGCAATTGGGTGCCTTAATTTTCCTACGAGTACTTATTTTGAAACAGTACTCTCCAAAATGTTTAATCAGAAAATTAAATGCAATACCGTTCCAGGAAGGAATGGCTTTGCTTCTTTCAACAAAAATAAAAAAAACCATGCTGTCTTCTGCAGTCAACCCTTTATTTTTTCTTTTCCTTTTTTTTTTTTTCCCTTTGATAACATCCGAATTTCTGCTGGTTGGCTCTCCTTACTGTCCTCTATTCTTCTCCAGCGCCTGGAGACCTTCTCAGGATGGAGGAGGCAAACTGGTCCCATTCTACCTCTTGGAAGGGTATGGTGGTCAGCTTCTCTGGGGTAAAATTTCTGCTCTAAGCAGGGTGCTGGCTCCATCCTGCAGCTAACGGAGCAGGATTCCTCTTGCTCAGTAATGTGCTTGCCAGTTAGCTTGCAGCACAAAAGCTCCTGAGCACTTTTTACTAATAGAGGATCTGGATGCTAACAGCATAAAGGAAAAGGCTGCACAAGCCAGGTGCAGATATATTTAATCCTGGCCCCGTTTCCTGCTGTTCATTTTATATTTATTCCTATCTTTCTTCTCTCAACTGGAAAGTACCCTGTCTGGTACCCAGCATGCAGACTATAAGCAGAAACCCAGTTCCAGAGGTTCTGGTAAAGCAAACAAACCTTTATTACAGTTTGCTCTGAAGTAACTTTGCTTTTACCGTATTAGCATTACTCAGTGTGTATCCTGTTATGAAAAGACCTTTGTTGGTGTCCTGGTTTCGGCAGGGATAGAGTTAATTTCCTTCCTAGTAGCTGGTACAGTGCTGGGTTTTGGATTTAGGGTGAGAATAATGTTGATAACACACCGATGTTTCAGTTGTTGCTAAGCAGTGCTTACACCAGTCAAGGACTTTTCAGCTCCCCACGCTCTACCGACTGAGAAGGCTGGAGGGGCACAAGAAGCCGGGAG